TGAATATCCAAATAAGCAAACAGATAGATAAATAAATAGAAAAATAATGACAAAATGTCCTGCGATTTCTTTTGATCATCAGCTAGAAAAATGCACAGGAAGTTTATGCAACCCCCTCTGCCTGGATAGATCTTATCTTCCAAAGCCTGTTAGCCAAGAGGCCTAAAGGAAAAGGTCAGCCTAATGTTCCTTTGGGCAAAAAGCCGCAGCTTATCTGTGGAATAACTCCTGCACTTGGCTTCCTTTATTTTAGTGAGGACTTGAACCTCCAAGTCGGCCCGGAGACCCTGCGAGCGATCGGCCCTGCGCGGGGACGATGTTGTGGCCTCTGCCCCGCTCCTCAGGAGGGCCGGCTACGGCTCGCATCAGCCCGGCACCATCCCCATCACCTCCACGCCAGAGGTCTGAAAGCCAGCAACCGGACGTGTTTGCTTAGGCATATTAGCAGTTTGTCTTGCATATTGCTGTAATCATAACAGCAGGCAGATTTTTCAAGCCACAGACAATAAAGCTTTTTTCTTTGCTGTTTTGGATGCAGCAGATAAACAAAATATTGCTTTAAATATACACAGTTCCTTTCATTCATGGCCTCAGAGCACTTTGCAGAGTTGGGTAAATGTCACTCCCATGTGTGACTCGCTGGAACAAAGGAGTTAAGCGGCTTCGTGGGAGGCCACACAGTAGCCCCCTCATAAACGTGTGTGACCGAGCTCTCACCACCGGCCTCTGCTGCCTCCCATGAGGTTGTGTTTAAAGCCTGGAAGGCAATCAGGGTCAGCTGAACACCAAGGGATATCAGAACTCTTTTTCTTCCTGGAAAACAACTGGCTTGGACATGAGAAACACCTGAAATCAAGCCTTCCTTCTAGTTGTTTTCTAATGCCAAATATGAAAAAGTCAGTGACAGTGCAGTGCCCAGGACAACCTTGTGCAAAAGAAAAACAAAACCAGACTCTGCAGACAAAGACATTTGGAGACCTTTCTGTTGCATTTTTAAGTACCCCAGTGCTTCCAGGTCTTAGCAGCAAGCAGTCACACAGAGATGCTCAGAAGAGCTGCAATGCTGGTAACTCGAATTGCGGAGAGCAGCAGAGCACAGGAGCAGGGGCCAGGTTTGAGCCCTGCGCAGCTGCGTCTTGCTGCGACCAACGCCGTGTCCCCACAGAGCGCCCACCACGCTGGGGGCCCCGCCAGTCGCCTGCAGGCCGCTCCAGGGCTCTCGCTGGGTGGCATAACCGTCCCCTGAGCAACAACAGTCTTTGCATCACAGAGGAAGCTCGTCCCAGCTGGGGGGGCAGATCCAAGTTCCCGAACCCCAAATGAATTCCTTAAAAGCAAGGTCATCCTTCCCGCTGTGATTTTGTGCGCTCTTTCAAACAGAGCTAGGGGAAGCCTCTGGAAACAGCCTGACACACAGACAGGCAGGTCTCCTCACTCCCACTTTCAGCCTGCTGGGGAATCACACCCCTACCTGGCTCCGCTTCATCAGTAACACGATAGGCTAGAGTTTTAAAAAAAGAAAAAAGAAAAAAGAAAAAAAAGAAAAAAAAAAAACACCAAACCCACAGACACTGCTTTACTCTCATAAAAGCAGATGGCTCGGAGATAAGATTTTACCTCCTGACATTAAAAAGCATGACATCTTCTTTTAATTACAGTATTTCCCTTTTTGGAGACTAAAGGGAAGATCAAGAATGAACATTTTTTTACATCAAACCAAAAAGGGTGGAACTTGGGAAAGTCCCAGTACTTTTCTTCCAAGTCTGGGAAAACTATACAGCTTATATAGGCCAGGCCACAGTTATAGATATTTTTCCTTTAAAATGCTGGATAAAATCCACTTAGCCACATGATGCCGCCCATTGCTACACAGAGCTTTGTACATTGCTTTAAGGAGAAGGACAATTAATTCTGGAACTGTTGCTTGTTGCTCATACTGAGAAAATGGCGAAATCCTGCAATGTAGGTTGTGTGTGAACCCTTTAGCGTGCAAAGACCACACAGGAGCTTTGCACAAACACAGCAGAACGTTTGCAAGAGATGTTGCTGCCAGCGAAGAAGAGCTAGCAAAAGCTCTGCTCTTAAGTCATGCCTTCCAGGTAAGCCCTGCTCAGACCCGCGACATCTCAAGCAGCACATATGGCCCCAACCTCTCTAACCAACTACCAAAGTAGGACCAGGCTTCCGAAGGCAGTGACTATGTCCAAATACCCCCCCAAGAGTTTTGCCAGGATTTAAACACCTCACTTACATCTGTAATGCTGGCAGTTGTGCGTGTACATATAAACACAGGTTGGTGCCTACAATGCTGGAAGCAGCTTATGGAAAATTTGAATCTTAAGATGCAAATCATTAAGAGTATGCATCACAGCTCGCTTTGGGGAAAATTCCCCGTTCAAGAACAGACATGCTGATTACAACTCCAGTTTCCTAATTTCCTGATGTGTGTGAAAGCCCCACCAGCATCCCTGAGAGCTCTATGTTTACTGAACGCGTAAAGCGATTCAGTTTGCCGGAAGGATCCAGCGGGTTTTTGCACGTACAGGTAGAGGTGAAGCCTACCCTCTGAAGCCGGCTGGCTGGAGATACGACCCAGTAATCAGCCACAAGCATTCAATCTGCTTTTTGGTTGTGCCACAGACAGCACTACAACCTCAGACAGCTTTCTTCGTTAATAATGTAGTAGTAGTTTGGCTCTCTGAAGCACTGGCAAATTAGAGACAAGCAGTACTGCATCCATATAGCAGCTCGTAAGCTCACCATAAGCTTCACTCAGTATGCATCTTTTGTGCCATTATGTGCATTAACGAACCTGGAAGGCTACAAGCTTCCTGCTGATTAACTTGTGTCATATCTACTCCCCCAGGCTTACAAATAAGCAGGTTTTCTTAATCATTCCAACCTCTTAATTTATAAACACATAAGGCCCCATGGTTCAACAAAAGTAAATGCAGTCCTGAGCACAGGAAAGATACAGACTCTGATCCTTCCTGTCTGTACATGACATGAAGTGAGAACTTAGCACTATTTTTCTTTGGTAAACATTTAGCAGCAAGTCACACTCTAAAGTATCAGCCAATTCCACTGCAATATTAAAAAAAAATTAAAAAAAAAATCTAAGTCTACACTGGAAGTCATTTTTTAAATCTCCTCCCTTTCTGCGGGTTCAAAATAAACTGTACGGTACCCATCTTGCAAGGACTTGCATAGTGGTTCAACATTTCCTACAACTGCTGTTTTAACACCAGCTCCACCACAGTGTGATCTGGAAGTTATCCACGCAATTCCAGCATCTCACCTCCTCTAGAAGAGTCCCCAAGTGCAATTCACATCATTTGGGAACTGACAGTAAAGCTTTCAAAACAGAAGTTACATTCCCTGTTCCTCATCATCTAGGATAGTTGTGCCTTACAGAGCACCAGCAAACTGTTAAGATACAAGCAAAGCTACTTGTAAAAAACACAATGTCATTTTAAACCCTTTCTGAATGTCACTAATATGTTTGGGAAACATAACCCTCCTCTGCTGTCAGCCACACAACTGAATCAGCTTTCTGCTCTCTCCAGTGAAAGACCAAAAGGGAGAGGAAAAAAAAAAAAAAAGAACACATTTAGAAGATGGTATTAATATAATCCTCAGAAACAGTTTCATTAGACAACTTTAAAGTCATAAGCTGGACTACAAAACGGAAAAGAAACGCCGAGTTCTGCCATGCACAAGGTGAGGGCAGAGTCCCCTGGGTGCCATCTCCCGGAGGAGCCGGCGAGCCCCTGGGCGCACAAGGGCGGCAGAAGGCAGCGCGAGCGGCGCAGAGGAAGCTCCGTGGAAAGCGGAGCCGGCAGCCAAAGGCAGCCGAGGTGCCGAATGGAAGAGGCCGCTATGACTCACAGGCTCCAAGTCTAGTCGGTGAAAAATCTGGCAGAAGGGTGTTGTTTGACTATGTCTGTACATTCCTAAGAGATTTATAGCTGCTTATTAAATCATCTGTTCCTGTTAAAAGCTAAGAAACTGCACGTGTTTCACTGGATCGTGCATCTGCTAGAATAGACCTATTAACCACTAGTAGAGAATAGAGATCTTTCTACTGGGTGAGCTATTCCAAAGCTTTTAAGACCTCACTTGTGACAGGTAATAAAAGCTATCCAAGGGAGGAAGGGCTCTAGGAGGGATCTGAACCTGCTGCATCACAGGGTCTCCCTTTCTGGCATCTGTTTTGCTTGTGTAATCCTCAAAAGCAAATTGGCCTTTTGAGTGTCAGGTAGTTTCTACTGAAGAAAGGAAACAAATACCTCCTAGAGAGGAAAAAACCTACCAAGGAAATAGTGGTTTCTTCAAGAAAAGAACTGTTGGGACTTGAGATAGGGTTTCTGGAGTACTGTAGTTCACACAGTGCAGGGACCTCCTCTCCTCTGTCCCCCATGACCACCGCTAACCCTGGTGTTTCTTCCCAAATCTGATGGAAGAAAAGAAGGGGTTGTGCACAGCCCAGCTCCACTCGCCCAGATTGCTGCTTGTCCCCTCCAAGAGGCAAGGAGCATGGCCATGCTGGGAGGGATGGCCGGACACTGCCACCCAAGGGCGGCTCTTCTGCTACCTCTGAACACTCTTCGGAGCATCTCTGATGCTTCCCTTTACCATCCTCAGTCATTGAAAAAACCCTTGCACAAGCAAAAAGCTGTCCTCCCTCCTACCATCTCCCTTCCTCTAATTCCACTTCTGTTCCTTTCAACGTTAGGCAAATCCATAGCTTACATAGCCATCTCTGAAAGATAAGGTACAAAGATATTAAATAGAAACTATTTGCTGAAACACACATGGACTGATTGTCCCTAATTTCCAGAAGGCAGGAACATTTTATACATTTTTAATTAACCCCTTAAAAATAAACAAAAATCTAGGTATGTTTGCCAAACATTTGAGAATACAGAATCTCTTTATCCCTGGCTACATTAGTGTTGATATTGGAAGAGGGGCTTATTTTAGGAACACAGAAAATGTACCTCTTGCGCAGACCACTGACACGTCTTGCTCCAAAGTCTCCCTTTAGCTGTGGCAAAAGGCAGCACTAGCCGGGGCGAGTCCACACGAGTAGCTGCTTTCTGTCCATTTTTCCCAGTCCTTTGAGGACACACTGTGAGTAAGCACAAGAAAGACTTGCAAGCTTTCGCTACAGCCATGCCTAGCAGAAGAGCCAGCAGCTTGGGAGCTTGAGCCCCTTGCAGCAGCTCACGCACAGAGAGCGCCCGGAGTTGCAAGCGAGGGAGCCGAGCACCCCGCCGGGCCCGAGGGTGCAGCTGGGTCATGTTCACCAGCAAACACCACATGGGAGGAAGAAGGGATGGGTTTTTCAGCACATTTCTCTTTCATGGGTTTGAACCGCTGCCTTGTAAAAGTCAATTTGCTAAGAAACATGACAAGATAATGGTAGGTCCTGCTGAATCTGCACAGCTAGCTATGTTAAACTGATTTCTGCAGTAAATCATGTGCATTCTCAAAGCACAAAGACAGGGCTGTACAGCTCTGGGAGTTGTGTTACGCTGCACAAGTATTTTTGCCAGAAATGACAAAGTATGTGTCCTTATTTTTCCCCCCCTTTCTTACCTCTGTGTCAAACTATCCTCACATTAACACTCTAGCACACAGAGTGAATCTGATCTGCCAGAAAGCTGTATGAAAACTCGAGTTAAGTCAGCAGAGCTATAGACAACAAGCCCTGATCAGACAAGTATCTGACAACTATACAGCCCCCACCATCACAAGGTACCCACCTTTCACGGTCACTATGACTTCTGGAGCGTCAGCACAAAGTTAAGGTCGATGCAGTTCTTCTCCTCTTAAGAAAGCACTATTCTGGAAAGAAGTTATGAATTACAGCAATAGCCATGTGCAACACAGTGCCACATCTCAGCATATCGCCCAGCTCTGACTCCAGCTAAGCATACTTCTCAAGTCTCAGATGATGCTGATGTTAAAAACAAGTGTTAGTCAATCCTGGACAATCTTTGCATCCTGTGATTCCCCTCTCCCTCCTTCCTGGAAAGGTCATGATGCCTGCATTGCCTTCCTGCTTCCTGCTCCGGTGTGGCTGCCCCTGGCGCCAGGCACCACACAGTCACACCACTACCCACCACCAGTGCACTCAGAGCAGAGGCAGATTTGGGCCAGCTTGCTTGACATCAACACCCTCAGCATCACAACAATCACACACTCACCCCAGGCACACACACAGTACCAGAATACCTTTTTTTTTTTTTTTTTTTGGTTAAGCACTGCAGAAGAGAGACTTTAGCATGGATAGGAAGGAAGGAGTGACCATTGTATTGCACAGGCTTAAGAAGTGCACAAATACTGCTGTCCCCTCTCACTTCTTGCAGGAGGGAAGACCATCTGAGAACAGTTATGAGAACTACTGCAGCCTTCCAGACCAGCGTGAATTCCGAGTCAACCCTCCGGCAGGCTGCTTAAGAGTCAAGGCTTAGCTTTTAGGCATACGTTCAAGTACTTGGCTGAGGTGGGGCCCTTTTCAAGAGGATCCCACTCAACAGTTGCTCCAAAAAGAGGCTACAAAAGTATTCCAGATACACAGTAACACAGGAATTTACGGAGGACGCATTCTTCCTCAGGCAGAAAATCAGACAGATTCATCTGCTCTTCACAGGCAATCGTTTCTTAAGGAGCGCTGCTGTGTCCCACATCTGCAAGCACTGAAAGAACAGCTGCCAGCCACAATAGGAAATGGTTTACACTGATTGCACATATTTCTGAAACCCCACCAATTCTACTCCACAAGGGGAAAAAGGGAGAGAGAGAAAAGAGAGAGAGAGAGAGAGAGAGAAAAGAGAGAGAGAGAGAGAGAGAGAGAGAGAGAAAAGAGAGAGAAAAGAGAGAGAGAGAGAGAGAGAGAGAGAGAGAGAGAGAGAGAGAGAGAGAAACAGTAACAAGAAAACCCTGGAGAATTTGCTAGTCTTTATTCTGTGCCTTTGCTAAGAAGTGAGGTCTTTTGTTTTCTCTTTCAGACCATCCTCTGTTATTCACACAGGGAATTACAGACCCAACCAGTTCTATAAATGTTCCCTGAACTCATGGTTTAAGTTTAGGTCAAAGAAAGATCATTTGCATGTGAAGCATGACTCTTCTGTGGCAAAGCAAGGCCACTCTGATTCCAGATGGTTTTATATTTAGCTTATTTTAACTGTCCTGATCTGTTGCCCGATAAACCCCTATTCCTCAATGTCATTGAGCAGTAGATAACAGCAGAAAAGGACAGTGCAATCTTCAGTTAGAAACACAAGTCCTCTAAAGGCAAGCACAGAACTGGGAAATGGAATCTCACTGCTGTTATAATCCAGTTTACCCCACTTACCTGCCAGTGCACATGCGACATCAATGCTGTTGCAGCCTATTGCACATTGATGCAAGTGCGGTCAAACCGAGAACTTCTGAATTTTCATATTAACATGGTACTACTGACCTTCCCAAAGCCACATTCTCTCAATACCTTAGAGAAATAATACTTGCTTACCTAATTCACAGGTTGTCATAAAGATACAACTTATTAATTAATGAGCTTGACTGCTAACTTTTGTAAATGACTAATGCTCCTCTGAAGTCCATAAAGCTGCAACTACTATTTGCAGACCAAAAGCAATGATGAAAAAAATTGTTTTGTTATAAAATTAAAATCAACACATTATAAAATAAAATTTATTTATTTACAAAATAAAAATCAACACATATTAGGCAATACAATGTTGACATTGTATCCTTAGAGCAAGGTAAATTTGCTAGATCTCCGCAAAGTCACTGCAACTATTAGAGACAGCTTTCTTAAGTGGGTAGTATCTGAAGTGACAGTTCGTGCCTACAATTAGCTGAGGTTTTTTATTCCCAAGTATTTGTTTGCTCCTGCTAATCAGGTGCTGAAACAAATGATGGAAATCCTATCTACAGATCCTTGAAAAGGAAAGATTTTTCCTATGATTAACGTGTCCACAAAAATGCCTATAGCACCAGCAGCTGGGCTCCAAGCTTGACCTGCATAACATTCATCAGTGTAAATACAGACAACAAACAGGTAATCCATCCAATTTAAAACCTGTGACCCAGCAGTCAAATAACAGGCTGCTTGAAAACCACAGAGCAGAGCCACCAGCTACATCCCTCTAATTTGGCCACATCCGCAGTGGTAGCGCACGGCAATGACACAAGGTTTTCCCAGCCAGACGGCCTGCTTCCCGAACCAAAAAAATGAGTCAGCTTCTGGTCTGTATTTCCCATGCTTTCCTCACCCCTATAAAGTATCTGGACCAATTCACCAGATCAAAGAGGGCCTGATTTTGTTTAAAGACTAGCCCTGAAATTACTTCTTGCTTTCAATACAGAAGTTGTGTGTTTATTATAAAACACAAGAACGAAAAGTAGTATTGCTTCTGGATACTTCTGTATTTGCACTTAACTTCTGGCTCATTTTGTCTCAAAAATGCCAAAGTCTAACCTTCAGGATACATACACTCTCCTCCTTAGTACCAAACAAGCAATGTTATCCAGGTAGCAAATGTGACATCACACATTTTGATTTCTTTGGGAGCAGTCCAGCTTATTGTACAGACTATGACTGAAATCTCAGCCCCCATTGCACTGCAATCAGTGCGATCATTTCACGCATACCACCGAGCCGACTGTTAGCCAAGCCAACAACAGACTAGTTGGCCTTCTACTCATTTTCCCATTTCATACACCACCTACTTACCTAGAGTGCTCCTTTTATTCTCTCCAGTTGTGAAATCTGGTTGTTATTGATGCAGAGGCCTTCTTCCTGTATATATTTCTGTCTGAATCAACATGCAAACTTCTGGCAGTTTTGTTATTACTGCTTTTAGAAGCAAGTTAGTGCTTTCAACCACAGCTTGCATTCTACCAAATAAAGCTGAGGGGACACTGGAAAGTACCAAGGAGCAATCAAACAACCAAGCATCAGTGCAGGGAACCTCACAACACATCATTCCAAGTTAAACACTTGGAAGCAAAGTGAACCCTATCTGGGCAGCCGGCAAGGAGAAAAACTTCCCCATGCACAGTCATGTCTGACTTCCTTGAAAGCTTTGCTCCAGTGCATACTGTACAGCAGAGGAGTTCCCAAGCAACCAACAAGCCTGGTCAAATGCCCCTGCTCATCTTCCTCACAGGCTTCGGCTCCAGTAACAGCACTGGGTGGAGAGTACAGTCATAGAGCTCTGTTATTCTGACAAGGAAAAATGCTTTCAGCTTATTAGTCAGCATCTCATTTTAAATGATGGACAAAAGCAGTAGGAGATTCTCTGGAAGAGTTACTCCTCCTTTCTCTCTTCCTCCCCTCCCCCCCCCTTTTTTTTCCTCTCTCTCCTCTTGCACAGAAAGCATTCTTTAGACAAATTGCATAAGGTATATGCAATCTTCCTGCTTGGAAACTTTTATCTGTTATTAAAATCAAATATAAAACAAACAAACAAAGCCATTTGGATGGTTTTATTTGTAATGCCAAGGTCTCCAGCTTCCCGTCTCAGAGATTTGCTGAATTCCTAAGAGTTGGTAGCAATATTAAATGCATTTCCAGTGACATCAGTAGGAAAGTAACTGTGCTGTAAATAATAATGGTTACTCACAGCTGTGGACTCAGTTGTTTCTTGTAGATACACATCCATGTTAAGGACAATGCAGTACCGCTTCATTCCCCAGGGACACAGTGCTGGCCCCTTTCCATACAGGGAGGAATTGCTCCACCATGTCGGGTGGATAAAGCTCTTCTCCCACAGAGTTCATCAAACAGGAGAAAGGCCTGAGCCACAGACATCTCCTACTCTCTCAAAAACAACACACTAGCACATGGACAGTGATAATAAAAAGAAATTTGTACTGCTGTATTTAAGCAAGTCAATGCCTTTAGTCAGGACCTTGAGACACTGAGATAATCTGAAGAATTCTCAAGTTTCTTGGTAGAAATAAAGGTTCAAGTCCTCTGTAAGCTTTGTATACTCTAGTTCATTGGGATTCTTGTTTTCAAGCTTTCCTATGTACCTGCAATGGCCATAAAGGAAAAACTAAAGCCAACATTGTCTAATAATCACTGAATCCCAGGAACCCAGAGCCTTTAAGTTGCTACAGTTGACAAGGACAAAATTTTCTTTTACATTTATCACGCAGTCTCCTATGCAATCAAACTATATAAAATTCACGCTATCCTGGCTCTAACTTTAAACACTTAGTGATTGCAAGTATATACAGAGCAAACACAAACAGCTTCATTTGCCAGTGAAACACAGCTGCATGTGGACCACAATGTGGCTGCCTGTGAAGGAAGCATAAAAATGAAGGAGAGTGGGAAGAAGTGGAGCAGCCTGGAATCTGAACACTGAAAGGCCAGAGCAGCACACTCCTACTCGCGTGCCTGCAGTGTGGTATTCTGCGAGACAAATGAGAGACTTTTGATGATCACTGGCAGTTTGAATCACGTCTTTTGCTGACAGCTGCTTCTGACAAGCCACTGCCACCACGTTGGGGCCTTGGCACAGATATAGACTCCAGTGGGAGACTAGGATTCAAAACACAACAAATCCAAGTTCTGCAATGAGATCGTGTCCCGCCCACCAAGGTCCAGCAATGCTCTGCCCCACGCCTGAGGAATCGGATGAAAGTACAAGCCAGAAGCGGTGCCTCTGGAGTTGAGGCACCTCCTGGCAGAAGAGATGCAGGAAGCCACTACAGGGCATTTCACACCAGCCATGCTTTCTGGTGTTGTCTTGGAGCAAGCACCAGCAGGTTTCTCAGCAGGTTTAAGGTGTTTGAGAACATCATCAGCTGTGCTGCCC